TTCAATTAGTCAAATATTTCATTGCTAAATCAGTACCATCTCTGCTTTAGGAATTCACATTTCTTTCTAAGTGCACAAATAAAGGCTAGTAATAATAATAACAATCCTTACATTTGATACACCATCCTTCACATCAGGAGGCACTCTCAAAGTGTTACACAGGATATACTGAAAATGATGGTGCAAGTGTGGGCGAACATCACAGCTAATTTGTACACAGCAATGCCCTACAAACAGCCATGAAGCGAATGAACAATTTTATTTGGTGGATTGTTGAGCAGGACACTGGAAGAAACTCCCTTCTCTTTTTGAATAGTGCCTTGCGATCTTTAAAGTCCATCTAAACAGGTGCCTTATCTTCTGACTCAGTGGTGAGGTGCTACCACCTGAGCCAAACTGATACTTATGACCAGGGCCAATAGAAAATTGCGAAAATATTTGCCCAAATTGTGGGGAAATTTGGTTAGCTTTGCGGAAAATTGTGGGAATTGATTGGTGCTATTGAGAGGAACGTTTTACTGCCAACCTACATTTTTTCAATTAAAAAAAAATACTAAAAACGAGAAAATAACACATTAGGGGGTGAGAAACACCAGAGCAACTGCGGGGCTCCAGGAGTCATCACCTCCTGCCTCTCGAGGTCTGCCACCCACATAGAGAGTGGGACACACTCACAGACACAGAGAGAGAGAGATGGACATATACGCACATCAAGACACACTCACAGAGACTGAGATACGATTTTTCCACGGAATCCGTTACAAGCATCCTCCTCTGCTATAAACCCGTAAAGACAAAGAGAGACACACACGCAGAGAGACACTCACAGAGACAGAGACACTCAGACAGAGAGAGACACACACTCACAGACACAGAGAGAGAGACATACACACTCTTAGTCACACTCAGACACAGGGATACTCAGACAGACACACACTCAGACACTCACAGACAGAGAGAGACTTACACTCACAGACAGACACAGACACTCACACACACACATACAGAGGAGTTAGAGACACATAAACAATCTCAACAACGGGGCCTCGGGGTGAGCAAAGCTTATTTCTTGCTCGCGCTGGACTGTGCATGTACATCCGGAGCCGCTCAGCCCACCGTAGCGTCAAATAAATAGTCAGCAGCAGCGCACAGAGTCCCGGGGCTGAGCTCACTGTGTCTTTACGGGTTTATAGCAGAGGAGGATGTTTGTAACGGATTCCGTGGAAAAATTGTGGCTGCACTTTTCTATTGGCCCAGCTTATGACTCAAGTGCACTCAGCATTATCCCATAGAGTTCTTGCACTTTGGACACGCTTAGAATGCCTGTTGGTTGCTCACATTAACAATTGCCTGATTCACTTCAGGTTTGTATCCATATCATATCCTCTGCGGGAGAAATGCCCTTTTTGTTTTGAATAAAGTCATGGGATCCGTTAATGTCCAACTGAACATGCAGACAGCACCTCATTTTAACGTCTCATCCAAAGGACATTCGCTCCAATGATAAAGTGCTTCTTCCGCCCCACCCACACACAACATAATGCTGCTTTGGTGTTTCGGGCTGAGCTGTGAGCTCAAAGTTTGACACCAGTGAGGGGGTGCACAATGTCTGGATGACTTTGTGGAACACTCACTTGGGGTAGGCTCTGTGCCATTGCTGCAGATGGCATCTTGAGTACATGTTCATTGCACCCATTTAAAATTAGCCGTGGGAAGTGTCTGCAATTTTTTTTTAGACGTATAAGCTTGAAAGGGAAATTAAGCAGTTGTATGTTTAGTAATGGTGTGAAAAACATGCAAAACTCTGCAGGGACTTTTTTTAATACAAAATATTCTGATTGTATGTCAATGTGACCTGTGTCCACCTCAGTTCTGTCTTTGTTGGGACTCTCCCTACATATATGTGCATGTGCACTCGTCCATGCTTTAACACGTTAAGACAACTACAGTTTCTCACATGCTCTTATTTTTTTACTATACATTCCTATTTTGATTCACTACCATAGTGTAAGAGATGGAAGCTGGAAAATTATCACAACTATCTTAGGACAACAACAACTTGCATTTATATAGCACCCCTCACACAGGGTATTGTCCCAGAGAGCTTGACAGTGGCTGAGCACGGCGCCAAGCCAGGGGGAGGGCTGAAAAGCTGACATTATCATGCTATAAAATAATATAATTAAAGATAATTTTTCGAGGCTTGTTATTGGATTCAGATGGTTACATTGTCACCTCTCATAGATAAGCCCAACACTCCAAAATCCACTGTCCTGGGTGAGCGCAAACTTAAAGTGCAACTAAACGTCGACGAGAGACACACACTTTTTCTTTTTCTCGTGGCTCTGACCTCCTCAACCTCCCCGGCCTATCCCTCAGTCTCACCGAACCAGCGTGCAACCTAAGTGTTAGGTTTGACTCACAGCTGTACTTCCTCTCCCACATCTGGTCCCTGACCAGGACCGCCTTCCTCCATCTCCACCACATTACCTGCCTCCGACCATACACTGGACTCGGCCGAAACACTCGCCCATGCGTTCATCACCTCCTAACTTGACTTTTTAAATGCCCTCTTTGCCCCAGCTGCACCATACGCAGCATCCAGCTGATCCAAAACTCTGATGCCCGAATACTCACCTGCATTAAACTCCATAACCCCATAACACCAGTTCTAGCCAGGCTCCACTGGCTCCCTATTGCTGAATGGATCGATTTCAAGATCCTCACACTCATTTTCAAATCCCTTTATGCCCTGGCACCTCTCTACCTCTCCAACCTGCTTATTCCATAACCCACTGCCTCCGCTCGACTGGCTCTGACCTTCTGTATGTCCTTCGTGGCCTCCATTCCACCATTGGTTTGCCGCGCTTTCAGCCACTGCGGCCTGAAACTTCATCCACATGTATGTTGATGACACCCAACTCTACCTCTCTGCCTCCACCCTCGACTCCAGGACCACTGGACCAGAGCTAACTTTCTGCAGCTGCACATCAACAAGATCGAGGCTCTCCTGATCGGCTCCAGTCAGCGCCTCTAGCATCACCATCCATGGTTGACACTCCACCTTACTAAGCCAGTCTGGAACCTTGGCATCTTGTTTTAGCCTCAACTATCCTTTCTATCCCACATCCGTGCCTTAACCCGCTCTGTCTTCCCCCACCTCTGCAACTTCGGCCGGCTCTCCCACTGTCTCACACCACAGGCCTCCGAAACCCTCATAAACACATTTGTAATATCCAGGCTTGACTACGCAAACTCCCTGCTTGTCGGCCTCCCCAACTCCTCCCTCCATAGGCTGCAGATCATCCAGAACTCTGCAGTCCGTGCCCTCTCCCGCACCAGGCTCCGTGACCCTGTCACCCCCATCCTCTCCAGACTCCACTGTCTTCCCATCACACAGAGGATACAGTTCAAGATCCTGGTTCTGATTTTCAAAGCCCTCCATGGCCTTGCTCCCCCCTACCTCTGCGACCTCCTAACCCCGTACCGACCTGCCCTCCCTCTGCTCAAAAGGCTGTGGCCTGCTTCATGTTCACTGCCTCACCCACCCCACCATTGGCGGGTGGGCCTTCAGTCACTCTGCTTCCATCCTCTACAACTCCATCCCGCAGTCCCTCCGCCTCGCCCCCTCCCTTGCCTCCTTCAAGAACCATCTCAAGAGCCTCCTCTTCGACTGTTCCTTCGGTCACCCTGCATCCCCCCCGCCCTCCACACTCTCCGATCCTGATCCTCAGCTCAGGTCCAAAATACTGATTGTCCAGCGCCTTGGGATGGCTTCCCGACGTGAAAGGCGCTACACAAATGTAATTTTGTTGTTGCTGTACATTTCCAGCATATCTTTTGTGACAGATTGTATGCTTTGGCTGTAGTTAGAACACACCGGCTCTTGGCTTGTATCGCCCACAAAATATACAGTCACTCCATGAAGTCTGGAGCATGAATTTATTCATAGAAATATGAATTTCCTTAGAATAGCCATATAATTTCCTTTGAGCTTCATTTTTGTTGCAAACCTCATTTTACAAAAAAGTGTTTTAGTTAAATATAAAACCATAATTTTATCAGAACGCCCCCTCGATACGGTATGCCATTGTATATTGTAAAGTTGCTGTTCTAACCTGTCCTCTTGCTCTGCTTTCTTGGTATTACTGTATTTGAAACAATTGTTAGATCTGCTTTCCGTATCGTGTTGAAGATCTAGTGTATGGTCTGAGATGCAACCTTGGAGAGCTTGGTTGAACTAGAGGTTATGGATTGATTTGTCAGACTGACACTCCAATGGCAGCGGTGCTTGGGACGTGTTGCATTGTCAGAAGTGCTGTCCTTCAGATACGCGTCAAACCAAGGTCTCTTGTAACTGTTCAGTTCCTCCCGGTAGCCGGGCCAACAATCTTCCTCCACATAAAATTGGTGATTCACTTCATGGCTGTTTGTGGGACATTGCTGTGTGCAAAATACACAGTAAATATTATGAAGTGCTTTGAGATGTTTTGCCAACATAAGGCACTATATCAAATGCAAAAAAAACTTTTTGTTCTGATCTTGGGCCTCTTAGGCTGTTAACTTCCTCTGTGTTATAATTTTGGAAGAATTTGTGGTAAAAAACTATATTCCAAGGCAAGTAAGAAACATCATTTCATCTTGTGACCGGCAACCTTAGTAAATATGTTTATGTGTGCTGATCGAAACATTGGTGGTGAAGAGGTATGGTTTGTTCTACGGAGAATACAATATGCAGGAAGTGACCTGGACAGTGACCTGATGTCCCGGAAGTGTTGACCGACAGACATTTTGTTTAGTGTGCCTCGTACCTTGGGGTCTGAGTTTTTGGAACCAAGTCAGTGTGCTATATCGGGGTCGGCCTGTAATTCAGGATCTCAGAATCGGGTCTTTTGGGCATGAAAGCGGAAAATTTTAAAACGAGAATCAAGAAAAAGATTGCAGGCCACTCCTTATTTTGAAGTTGCTTTTTTATTCATCAGTGGTTTGGTTTTGTGCAGGTGGTGGAGGGAAGAGGAAAGGTCGCAGTAAAAAATGGAAAGAGATGCTGGAACTACCTCATGTCAGCCATTGTGAAGAGCTGCGACGGACATTAGGTAAGCAGAGTGCAACGGTAGAAACCCGGCTGGATCCTATACTGCTCTTAACAAGCAGCTCCTATTATATATGTTCCAGTCCTTCCTAGGCTTCACTTTCTCCCTGGCACCCAACAGATCGATTTCAAGATGCTCACTCTCATCTACAAATCCAGTCGAACGCCTTATTTCTGATCTTTTCCCACCCTACCGCTCTCTCTGTACTCCCATTGGTGGTCGAGCTTTCAGTTTATATGCCCAGAACTCCCTCCCTCTACCACTCCATCTCAAATCCTCTCTTTCTGTCTTTTTGTCCCTCCTTAAATCCTACCTGTTTGAATGTATGTTTGTTTGGTCTTCTTCTCCCCCCCCCCCCCCCGGCTTGGCATCCAAACATATCCTATTAAAAAGCTCTGAGCCACTATCCTACGTGAAGGACGCTATATAAATACAAGCTGTTATTGGTAAATTGGGCCTTGTTCATGTGAACTAAGATTTTATGACTGAACATAAGGAGCAGGAGATTGGTGTGAGGGTAGATGGCTTCTTGGAGGAACAAGTATGTTTTGGGTTCTATGTATCTTGAGTTCAATATTCAAAATAGTGAAAATCGATCCAGGTCAAGTCCTCATGAAATGAATTAAATTCTGTTTTTATCAATTTTGTAAAGTACTCACACTTTTAAAGTACTGCAGCTATTAAAAACAATAAATAATAATCACTTACAAGCCTATTGATGCACGATTTACAAGGACTAACGCCTTTGCATTTATTCTAGTCCTATCGTTGCAACTCGTTGGCTCCTTGTTCAGATATTATCCAGATCCTGTGGCACTGTTCCAAAAAAGAAGGGAGTTTCTCCCAGAGTCATGGCCAAAAATCCTCTGGATAAAATTGGTTATTTTACTTCATTGCTATCTGTGAGACATTGCTATTCACAAATTGGCTGCCACAATTACCTACAAATACTCATTTGCCGCTACAATTTACAGCACCTTTGTGTGAAGGAAATTTTGACTCTCACAAGGAGTTGTGATGCATCACAATGGAAAAGTACAACCAGTAGAAGCCCTATTTATTTGGAGATCAAAACTGCTAAGTACTTATGGGTAAAGGACAGAGAAAAATGTAAACTTGCCTTTCTTGTCATCAACAACAATGACTTGCATTTATACAGCAGCAGCAGCATTCATGCGGGGGTAGCATCTCGAAGTGCTTGGTTGAAGCAGTTGATAGCAGATGCACGGGAGGAGTGTGGAGGAGAACACTTGTGGTTTTCCTCTGTTCTCTTTCTTTTTCCTTTCTTCCACACACACACACACCCACTCCTCTTCATCGTATTCCCCTGTATGCAGGCTGCAATTCGTATTTGGTAATCCTAGTTGTGAGCCCAACACTACCAACACTACAGCTATGTGATAGTCCAGGACCTGTCAATGCTTTCAGTGGTTCATCAAATATATGAAAGTTTATCTGTCACTGAATTTCCTTCTCTCTGGTCAAATGCTTGTTTTTTCCCGTTGATCCAACTGCCCAATGTGAGGGACCACTTGCAAATTCAGAAGCTTCCTAGTTCTGCTCCCGCTGCTCTCTACTTCCTGTGGAGTCCTGTAGCTCAGTGGTTAGAGCACTCGCCTCGCAAGCGAGAGATCTGGGTTCAATTCCCGGCAAGGCAAAACCTTGGGCAAGTTTTCTTAATCCACACGCATAATAATAATCCCTCAAGAAAAAAACACAATAATAAATTGGTCATTTCAATCTACAACTGTTTGTGGGACACTGCTGTGTGCAATTGGCTGCCGCATTTCGCCCACAAATTTGTGTCTATTCACTTTACAGTATATTCTGTGAAGCGCTTTGAGACGTCTAGAAGACGTGAAAAGCACTATATCAAATACAAGGATTAATATTCTCAAATCCTGAGATTACTGATGTGACCCTCTGCCCTGTGGTGTTGCATTTTGTCAGCAGCGCACAAGCTTTTTTATGGCATCTTATAAACCTTTTTTTTCTTTTCCGCCTATAATCAACCATCTTGCTATCTATGAGCCAAGGTCAGAGAGCAGACGCAAAACCAAAGTCACCTGACTGCAGCTACCGCTCTTGGCCATAGCTATTATTCCTGCAGGTATGCCAGAATGACAGTTTTTTTTAAAAAAATGCTTGCATTTGTTGTAGTGGCTTTCACATTATGAAGATTTCACAGGATACACTGTAAAGTTCAGTGACTTGTTGTGGGTGATGGTGACAACCAATTTGCACACTGCAACTCCCCACAAATATGCATGAAGTGTATAATGCGTTTTTATTTTGGGGGATTGTTGATCAGGACACTGAGAGAAACTCGCTTCCGTCTTCAAATAAGGTGGGATGGGATCTTTAACATCTACTTGAACAGGCAGACGTCTCATCCAAAAGCCGTCCCTTTGAGACATATTGAGCAACTAGTCAGCCATGTCCCCGCCCTTCCTGCTTCACTATCGGCGGTCGGGCCTTCAGCCTTTCTGCCCTCACCTGATTGAACTCAATCCCTGAGGCTTTCTGCCTCGCCCCATCCCTTGCCTCCTTCAAAGCCTACCTCAAGACCTTGCTTTTCGACTATACCTTTGGTCATCTTTCCTCCACCCCTCTCTAATCTCAACCTCCAGCTCGGGTGCAAACCCCTCATTGTACAGCGGCTTGGTACATCCTCCGATGTAAACGGCGCTACATAAATGCAAGAAGTTGTTGTTGTCAACACCATTAGATCTCTTTCAGCTTCCCCATTGGCATATTTAATCCCATCCTTGGCCTACTTGTGTTTCCTATTGGATCCTATATGTAATACCTTGCATTTATCAGTATTAAACTTCACCCAGTATCTTAGTAGTTAGCCAGTTACCGGAGATCTGGATGCAGATCCTTTGCACTGTCCTCTTGACCACAGTATGTGGGAGATATCAAGATGTTTTGTTTAGCAGGTGATTGAGTCTTTTATAAGTCACATTGACTCGTGCTCAAAAGTTTTCGTAGTGCAAAAGTCTTAGTTTCCAAATGGGAGGAGGCGACTCGTGGATAGTGGGAGGAAAGTGGTTTGCAAAGTGAATCGTTGATATTGAAAAAAGGCTGTTTGTGGGAGGGTGGTTATTGCACCACAGAGCGGAGGTTGTGAACTCTATATCTTCCCACTCACTTGCTGAGTTTCTGCTCTTGACTGCACTGCTGTAGAGCTTCATTGCTGTAGAAATGTGATGAACTGGGTGGAGGCTGGATGTCTTGATGAGTTCAGTGAATGCAAAGGCTCACTGGACAGTCTTGTGGCTTACAGTGGCTACTTTAGAAGCGCCATTAATATACAGTAAAACTCGCTTAAGTCTTATCTATATAAATCGTGTAATGCACCCGAGTTCCTACCAAAGTTTCCTACCAAAAAACTCTTGGATTTCTTTGCACTAGTCATTGGATACATCGGATAAATGGCTAAATCCTAGGCAAATTAGCTCCTAACTTGTAACACTGCTACCACGCTTACCGGCTTAATTGAATCGCAGGAAACAAAGTCTTGATCCGTTGCCGTGTGCGTACTTACCAACTGCATTGAAGTATGCATGCACAGTGAGGTGCACTCCGTTGAAACAAGTGTGGAAAACTACAATAACGACAACAAATTATACTTGTATAGTGCCCTTCACATCGGAAAGACATCCCAGGACACTGGACAATCGGGTTTTGGATAAACAAACTAGATCATTATTTATTGTTATGTTTGTCATATCAAATCTGACTTGTTCAGGTTTGCCTGTAACTTGTGCTTCACGTAAATCATATTAAATTTAATAACTGATAAGACTTATGCGAGTTTTACTGTCCTGGGAGTCTGCAACCATAGTACGCGAGCAGATGACGGGAAGAAAAATAAAGGGATTTCATGATAAATGAACCTCAATTAATATTAATTTTTAAAAATTCCTAGGACGGTGTGGTTAAGATCATGATGAATATTTCTGTAGCTACACTGAAAGTATTGAGTGTCATTGTGGGTTCACTTTCAAGTTCTGCAACATGCAAGAACTTTTCTAAATTTTGCAAAACATTTCCCCAAGGCAGATCGTAACATTCACATTCGCGGTCTTGATTTTGTTCGCTTTCTTTATGTGTGCGTGAGTGTGTGGACACACTCTCACACACGCTTGGCCGAATGCGAAAGACCAGGTTAAGCAAAGAGTCAGACAGTCTTAAATGGCAAGGCCACAATTTTTATAATGTGATGTTAGGCCGCAACTCAATCGGGCAGAGTTGCACGGAGCAAAGTTACACTGAGCCTGCTCTCCCACCCCACTAAATCTTCTCTAGTCCTCCCTCATCTTCCTGTAGTGAAGAGAGAAGCCTTAAAACTAAGCAAATGGCAAATGGGGAAACGTGGAATGTTTTCATACCAGAGGGTGCGGACACTGGATCTGTTTTGAATTACTCCCTTAGATGGAACAGTTCTGACTTCGCATCCAAAAGATTGCACATGACAATGCAATGCTACCCCCTCCCCCCAGGATTTACAGTAAGATGTTTATGTCAAGCTGACACTGGAATGTCAGCCTTGACTGTGAGCTCAAAGTTCTAACATGGGGCTTAAACCCATAACCTTTTAACTTTGAGGTAAAAGTGTTACCACCTGAGCCCAGGCTGAGGATATCATCAAAGGGCCCAGACCAGGTACAGCGTCACCATTGAAGTGGAGTGACTATATTATGTAGGCGAAGCCTGCAGCTAGTTTGCACGCAGCAATGTACCCCAAACAGCCCATTTTAATAGGGGGATTGTTGGCCAGGACACTGAGAGAAACCTTCTGACTCTTCCTTACTCATGGTCAAAGAGGAAGGCCCACCAAATATACAGTCAATTCACTTTATAGTATACCCTGTGAAGCACTTTGAGATGTTTCGAACACGTGATAAGGCGCTATATCAAATGCAAGGATTATTATCATTAACCTGTAATGTTAACATTTGCACACATTGGCTAAATTGTCAACAGTTGGTGCTCTG